GGCTGGGAGGGCCTTGGGGGCAGGGATTGGGTCTGGGGAATGGGGTTGGAGGGATTGGGATTGGGGTGCGGGAGCTGGGGGGGTTAGGGTGGGTCTGGGATGTTTGGGAAGCTGGGGAGGAGACGGATTTGGGATGGATTTGGGATGGAGGGATTGGGGAATGGCGGGCAGAGGGGGGACGGGGTTGGGAGGAGAGGCAGGGCAGCCCCCAGGAGGTTGGGGAGGGGGCTGTGCTGTCCCCCCACATCTCGGGGGGTCTGTGCAGCCCCCGAGCCCTGGTGGGGGTGTCCGGCTGTCCTGGGCGCTGGCCAGAACCTGGGGATCCTCTGGGAGCTGCATGTCCAGGGAGGTGGAATTTGTAATTCCTGTGAAACCCCTTGGAATGAAAGGAAACTTTGGTTATTCCTTCTCCAGGGAGATGGGGGAGCTTCTGAGAGCAAGAATTCAGGGAAGTGGGAGGAGGAAATGCAGGATCAGATGTTTGTCCCAGGCTTTTCCAAATCCTCTGGAAACTCTGGCCACATTAGCAGGCAGGCTCTGTGCAGTCCAAGCTCTGGTTGGAGCCCGCCTCTCATCCTTAATTTGTTTTCCAGGGAGATCTGGGTCCCTTCAACCCTGGCTTGCCAGTGGAAGTGCCCGTGTGGCTGGCCATTAATCTGAAGCAGAGGCAGAAGTGTCGGCTCATTCCCCCGGAATGGATGGATGTTGGTGAGGATGGAGGCTCTGCCTTCAGCTCTGGCCTTCAGTGGGTGCAGTGGAAGCATGAAATTAAAAATAATCCATTTTTCACCATTAGTGGGGAGCTTAATTGAAAAGCACAAGGCAGCTGGGAGAGATGGATCTCATGTCCCACCACTGGGATTTTCTTTACTCTCAGGGGGGTGAGGCTTGTTCAGAAGAAGCTTTAGGGACTTTGGGTCACAGAATCTCAGAATTTTTTAGGTTGGAAAAGATCTCCAACCTCACCAAGTCCAGCTTGTCCCCATCTTGTCACCAGCCCAGTGCACTGAGTGCCACCTCCAGGGATGGGACTCCAAAGGTCCCTGGGCAGCCCCTTGCAGTGTTTAACCACCCTTTCAGTCCAGGAATTCCTTCTGATGTCCAACCTGAACCTCCCCTGGCTAAATCTGAGGCTGTTTCCTCTCATCCTGGCACTAATTCTTGGGAAAATCCCTGTGAGGAGATAGGGATTTTGGTTGGATGGATGGATGGATCCTTGGAGGCATCCATGTCCCTTGTGTGCCTCCCGAGCTGATCCTACAGAAACAACGTGGCTTTTTCCTGGGGAGAGGGGGAAAAAACCACACAAAATCCGAGCATCCCTGGTTGCATTTTAGGGAAACTGGAGGAAATCCGGGATCAGGAGAGGAAAGAGGACACCTTCACTCCCATGCCCAGTCCCTACTACATGGAGCTGACCAAGCTGCTGCTGAACTAGTGAGTAGGAGCTGAGCTGGGCCGTTTTCCACCCCACTTGGTTGCGAGCACTGAGGATTTTTCAAGCTTTGCTTGGCAGCAGCCCCGCAGGGCGGTGGGGTAAAAGGGAGAGTCAAGGGAGTTTCATCCCTCAGCCTTGCCAAGATTTCTCAGCAGCACTTCCCTGATGGTAACTCTGCCTCTCAGGAGCTTGGGGTGGCTCCTTGCGTGGCCTCCTTGTCGGGGCTGTGCAGTTTTAGGGAGCACAGCTC